ATAACAAAATTATATATTGAAGACAAAATACAACAGCTCCAGGCACAGGTGCTGTGGAAAAGCCTGTCTTGGTGGCTGTGTCCAGCAATTTTAAGCACTGGAGAAAAGACTGAACTAAAATTAAGACTATCATGGCTGTCAGTATATACTCTTTGGCAGACTATTAGCAACATGTGAAAGTTTTGATAAACCAGGTGTCTAGAAATTTGTTTAAATTTCAGACTTAAGAAAAACCTTCTCCTATTAGCCATTTATTGAACACTACCATTTATTTCCATTGTTATTCATTGCCATGGAGCCCAATTATTTGTTTTCTTATTCACATTTAGTCTGCATTATCACAAATAAAATAAAGACCACAAGGATGTCATTACTCTTCAGCATTTCCCAATGCATAATTCCTAATTTGCATTAAATCCTCGAAGAAATGTACACTGCAGTGAATGACATGTCCTTCTGTAATAAGTACTGTAAATAATGAAATAATCTTTAGCTCAATATACACACACAAAACTACACATACAGTTAAATTGACCAAGGTGCTTTTATATATCTTAGGTGTACGATATTCAATATGCTTAGCATACATTATTTGAGAGGAATATAATCTTTGAACATAAGACAGTAGTTTAAGAAGAAATAACTCCTATAATTTCACTTATCTATTTAAGTGAACTAGAAATCTTATGCACCATAACTGATGGGAAAAGCTAAATAATCAATGCTGCTGATACTTAGTGTAGTTCTCAAAGACCTAAAACCTTTCTCAAAAACCAGTATTTGAAACCTGTCATTTTAGAAACAAAACAAAACAAAACAAAAAACCCTACAACTCTTAACTGTTTTTACTTAAGTACAGGAAAGCTTTGAAATAATTTCCTCTAAGCACTCAAAGAAAATTAATTTTAAAAGAGGGGGCCATGAGAAGGACTTTAATTTCTAAGAATACCCTGAGAGGTAACTTTGTATGAAGAGAATGTCTGAGTATCTCTAAAAACTGAGGGGAGAAAAAAGTAATTAAAAATGTTGCATTCCACAAACTGAGCATAGCATAAAAATGACTCAAAAGGGGAAATTTAATGAAAAGATTAAAAAACTGAAAGCAAATTAATTGATTAAAACACAAAGACATACACGTACACATTGCATGAAGTCATTCAACATTACATGCTGGCTGGCTTTGTATTTTCTTTTAAAATACAATCATAACTTCTTAATGCATAAAACAATAAAGCTCTCAATAATAATCATGAAAAATTCTAATCAAATTTCACTCTAGAGTTAGTCAGTATTCTGCTAGCATATTAGGCCTATATAAATGTTATGTTAAACCAGGAATCAACATATGCTATTTTCCATAACAGGAGCCATATAAATTACAAGCTCTTCCATGTTTTTTTAACTAGATTTGGTACACTTAAGAATCAGCAGTATTCTCCATCCAGAGTACTCTAATGCAACTGATTTTATATCTTTTAGAATTTATAATTCATCCTAATGCTCAATCCTTTAAAAAAAAAAAAAACCACAATAGGATCTGCTACTTACTATCTTATCTTGCACAGTAAAATTGTTGAGCATTTGCTAGGTTTCTAAATCCATAGGTTTTGCTGAGGTTTCAGAAAAAAGCAACTTTATTTTCTTTTGGTTATTACATATGATTTTAGCTTACAGATGATTAATTTTTAACACTAACATCCTGCTATATTCTCATTTGAGTTGTCCTATTTATTTCAAAGGTAGACTTTATGTATTACCATTACAAAAAAATAACTATTTGCATAATACTTTATGATTTTACATCTATTACAAACACATCACAGGGAGCCTGAGGATGCATTCAGCAGCTTGTCATTCACCACTTCAAGACCCTTCAGAACCAAACAAGGGGGAGGGTGACATTTTGCTAATGGCAGAAGTAAAGAAATGAATATAAATAACAAACCTTGAAGTTTTAAAAAATACAAACAAAAATATGATCCACATGCATAAACAAGATAGTTTTAATTTGTAAAAGTCCAGGTAAAGATGTATGTGTCTTCTGTTATGATACCCTTTTAAATTATCTAAAACTGTGCTACAAAAATAAAGAAAATTGCCATCTTGTTGAATTTTATAAACTAATATATTAAAATTTGATTGTACCTCTTTACAGAATTCAGCTTTTCCTCAGCTTTGTGAAATCTGAGTATCCTTTCTTTATTACTACTGATTTAACCCTATAAATATGCATAGTAAGAATGTTTAAGAGGGAAATAATAATGATCCAACATGTTTAGAAATCATGTTGTTCCATAATTTCTTCTTGGTAAAACAATTACAAAGAAAAGAGTTTAAAGCTTCTGGATTTTCTTCCATAACCACCAGTCCAGATAAAAAAAAAAAAATACTGAATGCTCAATTATGACATCTCCAGTCTAAATGCTCATAGCACTTGAAGCTTTTTGTAAACAATATGCCTCTATACTACATACATATCCCTTGAACCACCATCTACTTAATTTAACATTTTTAAAGGTAGTTTCAAATGCAGTGTAACACCATCTTACACACACACACACACACACAGAGGAGTGTGCAGAAAAGGAAGGAGGTGGAGAGCAAGAAATGGAGCACGTTGTTGTTTTTCATTCATGCAGTATAGTGATGTCAGTGTCTGCAGCAGCAGCGGCCGCGGCGGCAGGAGCCTTGACCTGTGGAGGCTAAAATCCACTGAAGTCAGAACCTCACAGAATTCAAAAGAAACTGAGTAGATAATGTTTGAAAAAATGTTCAAATGTTCATAGAATGGATTTTAAATGGCTAAACAGAACAGATTAGTTGCACAGTTTTAATATGGGTAGAGAGGAGCAAGGCGGGATGTGGAGAAGTAACATAAAGGTAATATAATCAGGGAACTGGGGGCTCAAGAGCCTGCATTCAAAATCCCTTAAATGTAAGAAACTGACAAAACCACCTGGTGTTAAAGACAGCAGAAAAGCCTCTTCTATTCCCAATACAAGCTCTGTAGTGATGCAAATCTGTCTGCTGCACAACCAGACTCAGGGAAGTGTTTTCATCCTGATTACATTAAAATTGCATTAAACTCAGATATGCCACACTACAACAAGGGGGATAGTTTAAGCCTGATCACAAATTTCATTAAAACTACTTTATGATGGACCATGTAATTCTTAAGCAATTAAGGCTTTTGAAGGATGCAGAAAAACAAGTTGTACTATGACGTGTTGTAAGATGTTAGTGTTTATCAACAAAAGGGGAGCAGGCACTAGATGGCCATTATACTGTTGCAGCAAATACTCTTACTTTGCCCACAAAACCCTCTGTACACAGTCTGAAATGCTTATTCTATGGCTGTTACATTAGTCCCTAAAAGAAAATCCCAAAACTCAATCTATGCACTGTTGAAGTTAAATCACTCAAAAATTTCTCTAACTGCTGCCTTCTATTTGTTCTTTTACCTCTCATTTCATATAGCTCCAGAAAATGTGCAAGGGAGCTGCATATGGCATTAATCTGTTAGAAAATGGTGGCCTTTTCTATAAAATACAGCCAAAGATGTGTGTTCAGTTGTGGTCATTATTAGGGCGATCACGTTGTTTTCATTCATTCATTCAGGATTTGCTGGAGGATGTCAGTTTCTGCAGCAGCTGGCTTGACCTGGGGGAGGAGTGGGGGAGCAAATTCCTCCTGGTGCATACAGATTACAGGAGGTATTTCTTGGTGCTCATGTACACATACCACTGCACTACATCCTACTCTGCCACACCATCAAGTGGTCTGAAAACAAGTGCCTTAGCAACATGCTAATTACCAGCCAGAAATATTAAAAAAAACACCACCACCAAAACTGCAATCCATCATAACATAACCACTTTCTCCAAGTCTAGGTCTTTCATTAAAAAGCTCCATTAAAAAAAAAAAAAAATTTCCACATACCACATCAACGTACAGAGCTCCACAGTGTTTCCCTTCCAAGCAGAGAGTTTTCCACTCGGTATGATCAGTTGTCTCCACAATGCTGCTGCAGCAGCAGCATCTGTAGCTCTAGCCTGGTATCTAATTATATTAGCTACACCACTCTCCCTTATGAGCTTTAAGTCCCTGTTTTGGCTAATCTTCCTTTTCTCCCCCAGGACCCAACTAGATCATGCACTGTGTCCCCAGACATAAACAAAACCAAACCAAAACACAAAACATTAAGGGAAGCCGACAGCATCCACTAGCTCACCATTACCTTTGACACCTAACAAAAAAGAAACTTGAGATCCTTTAACAGCTCAACTGAACTGTTAAGTGTACTTAAAAATGGAAGGAAAAAGTGAGCACACTCCACAAATAGGTCTTCAGAAATTTACCATGAAAATCTTGAGTTGGGCATAGACGATTTTCAGCGAAGTACTGCTCTGATGCATATGACTATATAAAGTAGAAAAAAAGAGACCAAAAAAAAAACCCCACCAAAACACTATACACTTCAATTGCATATCCAAAACTGTCTCTTCTACACATCCAACAGATATCCTCATAACTAATGCCATCACCCTTCCAAAAAAGAAGAAATATATATATCCCAGTAGTCACAGACACGTTAGGAACTTTGTAGGAAAGCACAAAGAGGCTGTGGATTACAACCACCACCTTATCGGCTGCCAGAGTTTGGTGCGTGTATTTTTAAGTGTTTCGCCCAGCTCCTCCTTCCCCTGCTACCAACAGCAAACACATGAGTGAGCTAATCAGCTCACAAACTGAAAAACCTTTCGATGCAGGCGAGTGATGGAAGATAAAATCTGAGGGGCGGCATGTGGGTCAAATAAAAGTTGCTTTTCAGTTCGCTCCTCCAAGCCCCGCAACGACCGCAGGGAGGTGAGATTCCCAAAGCCACTTTCACACCTTCGATAATGCACTAGCAAAGAGAAGCCCGGAGAGGCTGAAGTTTCCACGGAGGGAACCGTCGGGGAAGACGCAGCCCGGGAGGACGGAAGGGTTGGGCTCGCTACCTCTGCACACGGGCGAGCCGGGGCTCCGTCTCTCAGGTGAGTTGCTCCTCCGGTGGTTCTCGGGGGACCGTCTCGGGCGGCCCTTGGCCCGCGGCGCCTGCTCGGTCGGGGCCGCGGCTGCGGCCGGCGGCAGCGTCGG